TCCAGGGGTCGGGAGCCTGGGCCTGTACCAGACTTGTGTGGCTGGCAGGGAGGGAGCTTTTGGTAGGGAGCTCAGGATGGGAAAGTGCTGGGCACAAGTATGTGTATCTGGGGCAGACTGTCTCTGGTGAAGGCAGCCTCACCAGGCCTGAAGAAGGTTAATTTACAGCTGTGGCGGGGGGCTCCTTACCTGGTGGGGGAAGCTGAGAGTCTCAGAGAGCTTGCTGACTTGGCCCAGCGTGCTCAGGTCCTCGTCCAGGCGGCAGATGGTTTTCTGGATGCTCTCGCGGTTGGTGGACTGGGAGGCCCCTGCAGACAGAAGATCAGGGCGGGTCAGGGCTGATGGAGCAAGGGGAGTAGACAAGGGTGCCAGGCCAGCACTGCGCTGGATGGGGCTCTGGATGCAGGCAGAGCTGTTCTAGGACCCCCCTGCCCCCTGGATTCTGCCCTGTGAAGGTCACTGCCCCCAGGGCTCAGAGCAGGACTGGCCCGGACAGGACCCTGGGGTCTCTTCTCAGGCCCTGCCCCCCACTCGATCCCCACTCCCAGAGGGTTAATGGGCTCCCAAGAAGAGTTGCCACGCTAGTGCCCTGCAGCCTGACTCCCTCCCAGCCTCACTCAGCACTTGCAGAGCCTGTCCACACCTGCAGCCAGCTAGACCTCCTCGAGGTCAGCACTGCCTGCCATGCACCCAGCATCTCCCACGTGGCAGAGTCCCTGACAGACTGGCGAACCCCACAGCTCTGAGTTATACCCAAGCCAGGAGGCTCCATCCAACCACTGGGCATGTGGGAGGCTCTGTGTGTGTGTGTGTGTCTCAGTGTGTATGTACAGATGAGCATGTACATGCATGTGCATACGTGAGGATGCATGTGAGCTCTAGCTTGCAGGTGCTGGCACATAAGCCCTAAACTTCTGTCAACCTGTGAATCTCCCAGAGCTGTTGCCCCATCTGGCACTGAAGAATTAGCTGAATCTGGAAGGTGGAGCCTCAGTCCTAGATGGATGAGCCAGGTTCATGAAGTCCCTTGCTCTCCCCTTCCACCCATGCTGGGAGGACCCTCCAATGCAAAGGCAGCTGCTATGTGAGCTGAGGGAGACTCACCAGCAGTTGGAGGCAGTACAGACCTTATGATGCCGTTGGGCTGCTCTGAGTCCCTCCGGCAGACGGCAACGGGACACATACACAGCTCCTATACTACAGTATTTAAATCCAGACCTGAGTAAGTCACTCGTAAGGGACCCCCATGAAGCAGGCTATAAGCAGAGCCCCAAACCCCAGCAGAAGCCGCGTCTCGGCAGCAACATAGAGCCGGTGGCTTCAGCTTGAGAGGGGAAGGAGCCTGCACTGAGTGAGTCGTGGTTGTTTCCCTTGCCCTTCTCTGGAAGGCGGCAACCTGGGGACTGAGCCTCAGTTGAAGCCTGTGGGTGCTACAAGGGCAAGGCGAGAACGCAGCACAGACCTTTCACGATGTCCACGTCCTCCAGGGGCAGCTTCCAGAGCAGCTTGTACTTGCTGGCGGTGTCTATGACACTGGCGGCCGTGTAGCTGGAAGAGAAGGAAGGGAAGGAGCTATCACCTGGGGTGCGGGCATGAGTGAGAGCGCTAGGGGGCAAACTCAGCAAGGCAAAGACAGCGGGAACTGAAATCACAAGCAGAGCCGGCTGGGCCTGCCTGGCCCAGAGCAAGCCAGTGTCCAGGGTCCCCGCTCTCAAGCCCATCTCTTGCCTCTCTGCCTGAACACTGAGACCGCACCGGGGGTCTGGCGCTGGGATGGGGAGCAGGCCTGACCTTAGCCTTCTGGATGCCCCCCTGCCTGTCGCCCACCCAGTGCCGTGATTCCCCTCTCATGGATCCAGAGCAACAGACTTCCACCTTCAGCTTCCTCTGTGCAAAAATGAAGTTTATTTTCTACCTATTACCATCTTTAATGTTCCCTGAGCCTGAGGAAGGGTGCACGTGCCTGAAAGCTTGCAGAAAAAGATAATTTTTTTGGTAATTTCTTAGTTGGTCTAATAAAAGGTACCATCTCTGAACCAAGTGTTTTAGAGAGTTTTGCATTTCTTTTTGTCCCAGACCAACATGGCTACCAAATACATCCGTGATCCCCCTCTTTGCACCTCCTACCACCCTGCTCTGCCTGAGAGGGGCCCCAGCCCTGGCCCTAGCCCCAGCCCCAGCTGATGTTGTAGCCCCCAGCCCATCCCAGATGGGTCTGTACAGGCCCCATAGGACAGTACTGCAAAGAGGGTGACGGGAGGGGGTGGGCTTGGTGAGCAGCACTGCTTGTGAGTAGTAATGGGGAATGAGGGAGGAGGGGAGGAGGCGGAGAGATTGGCATAGTCCAGCTGGGCACGGTGGCCTGATGCTATGCAGTACTGAGCATTCATGGTCATGGGCAGAGATGGAAGGAGGGGACATCTCTGCCACCCCAAACACCACTGCAGCACTGCACCCCCTTCCCTCCCCGCCCTCATGAATTTGCTAGGTTTTCCATGCCCTGTGATGGTGCTGGGGCTCAAAGGCCTAGCAGGGACCATCTACCAGTCTTCCCTTGCACCACAGGGAAGGGGTGGCTTCTGCCAGGGCAACAGAAATGACGTGACTTCCCAAGCCATGAGAGAGCATGCTGGGGGAGGAAGGACAGCATGAGCACATGAACGTGCATGTGTATGTGGGTACCAGGTATAGGTGCACAGGACTGGAAGGGGCCTTCTGGGCTCTTGAGTCCAGTCCCCTGTGTTCACAGGCAGAAATTTTACCCAAGGGATCCCCCCCAAGTCGCTGCTTCAAACCCATGCCGAAGGCACAGCCCCATAGCATAGCTCTGCGTGGTGCTGAGGGAGCACCCGCGAGCTGCAATTGCAGCTACATGAAACGGGCCAACGGGGTCAGCAGGGGTGACCAGGACCTTCCTGGGTTTGAGGTGTCCCTTCCTGAGTCTGGAACAATGGTTGGAAAAGTGGGTGGAACAAAATAGGATGCAGTTCAATACGGACACATGCAAGGTGCTGCACCTAGGGAGAAGGAACCACCCGCATGCTTACAGGACCCTCTCAGCAGCATCGCAGCGGAAAGGGATCTCAGAGTCACAGCTGACTCCAAGATGAACATGAGCCGTCAATGTGATGACGTGATCAGTAAAGCTAACCGCACTTTATCACGCATTAGCAGGTCCAGGGAGATGATACTTCCCCTCAATGTGGCACTGGTGAGGCCGCAGTTGGAGTACTGCATCCAGTTTTGGGTGCCGCACTTCAAGAGAGGTGTGTACAGCCTTGAGAGGGTTCAGAGGAGGGACACTTGTATGGTTGGGGGCCTGCGGGTAAAACCCTATGAGGAGAGATTGAGGGACCTGGATCTCTTCAGCCTCTGCAAGAGAAGGCTGAGAGGTGATCTTGTGGTGGCCTACAAATTCATCGGGGGTGTGGGGGGGCGACGGATTGGGACAGCAAGGAATAAGAGATGCTCTGTTTACCAGGACACCCCTTGGAGTAATTAGGAACGACGGCCACAAACTGGAGGAGAGCAGATTTAGGTTAGACATCAGGATGAACTTCTTTACGGTAAGGGTTGCCAAAATCTGAAATGGGTTTCCAAGGGAGGTGGTGGCCCCCTACCTTGGGGGTCTTTAAGAGGAGGCTGGACAGCCACCTGGCTGGGGTCGCCTGACCCTAGCGCTCTTTCCTGCCCAGGGTCGGACTCGATGATCTGCTAAGGTCCCTTCTGACCCAAATATCTATGAATCGAGGACCCCCACAATTCAGAGTTAGAGCCAATGCTGCTCCAGGATGATGGCCGGGGACGGGGAAACCCGCTGTCTGCGGGTACGCGTATGGCTCTTGTCACCCTGCAGGCCCCTGCCCCGTATCCCATCTCACTGCCCTGTGGCATGAAGGGTGGAGGGGACTGGGGACCAGCCCCAGGAGGAGAGACACCCCGTGCCCCACAGGCTGACGGCCGCTGTACTCACAGGCTCATGGAGCTGCGCCGCAGGGACCCCGACTTGCGCTTCAGCGTGGTGCAAACCAGCAGGTCCGTGAAGAGGAAGAGCGAGCGGTCCTTCTTCCCGCCCACTGCCTTCTGCAGGAGAGAGGGCAGGGGAGGAAGCAAGCAGGGAGATTAACGCAGGGGTCACAACGTTAAAAGAAAAATGGCGGCTCGTCGAAAGGCCAAAGAGGTCTTTTCTCCCTACATGTCAGGGCGAACTGTCTGTGACGGGGAGGTGGGTTTTCCAGCCAAACTTCCCAACATTTACTTCTCTCCAGAGAGCCGGGCCACAGGCGAGAGACAGTTTACAAAGGCCCGGCCAGGAGCGAGCCCATCTCAGGCTTCTTTCCTCGACATACCGTATGCCTGCCCCGCTGTCTCTTTTGTTGGCCAAGCTACAGTCTCCCAGGCCTAATTCTTTGCTCAGTTCCTGTGCAGACCTTGTCCCGGGCTCACTTTCCCAGTGCCTGCCGTAGGGATTCAGCCTGAGTGAGGAGTTACTAATAAAGCAGCTGCCTTTCTACAGGTGTGGGCTTGACTCCTATAAGCATCTGTCCTGGGCCTATTTCCACAGGGAAGAAGCTGTTGGGCTGACAAGGTCGAGCCCTGCCCCTCGTATCCCCCTGCTCAGCTGCAAGTCGCATATACTTGGCCACTCAGCAAGACCATCCACGCTTGCCACGACCTGAAGTACGTTTGTGGTGTCACAGAGACGCCTGCTCTGTGGTGTCGCCATGAAGAATTGGGTCCGTGGGGCATCCAGCTCCGCACTGCTGATCAGGCTGACGGCTGAAGCTCCCTGATCCGGACATGATTAAGCTGCGGGTGAAAAGCCGCCTTCCACGGCAAAAGCCCAAGGCACAGCAGAAGCTGGCTGTGTGAGGCCATCCCTTGGATGGTAAGCTCTGGGGGCCACTGACTTGCCTTCCTAGGGGTCTGTACTCAGTATGCAGACCCCACCTGAGCTGGGTGATACTGAAAAGCAGGTGAACACCAACAGCCGCAGCAGCTCTTGTGACGGAAAAGACCTCACATCTACCCTTCCCACGAGCAGGGTTGCTCCACGGCCTCTTGCTGGATTTGCAAAAGCATGGCAAATACATGAGATTCCCAGGAACGAGAGCAGTGACCTGGCATTGAGCTCTGTTTGCAACAAGCCCAGCTCTCCTCCCATTCCCCCAAGCCAATAAATCTTGCGTGATGGTCTGAATAAACTGACGTCCTTCCTGTTTCTCCAGCCACTGTCTTCTCGTTGACTTCCAGGGATAAGCTCCCATGATTTGGCCAGAGGAGCCCGGGAGAACAAACACGCGCCCGGGCAAAGACGCTCGGCTCGCTCTCCCTGGCAAATCCCAGCAAACTTTGCTCCAAGTTGGAGGAGCGAAGCAAATGTCATGGTGAACACGGACTGATTTATTTCGAGCAGTGCCGGCAGACAGGGGCTTTGGCTGCCATGGAAACACCCCGAGGAACACTTGATTGGGGAATTTAAGAGCAATCTTTCCTTTCTCTCCTCTGAAAAGCCTCTGAAAAGGCTCTCCTTACACAAGGGAGAGAAAGAAGCAGAGGCCCGGCTATTATTTCTTTTAAGTGGCCGAGTGTGTGGGGTGGTTGTGCAGCTCCTTGAGAGGACAATGTTCCTTCAGCAAACTGAATTCAGAGAGCGGCAGGAGATGGAGAAGGTCGATCTATTGCTCCACGACTACCCCCCGGGTCGTTAGGATGGGAGTCGTAGAGTTTAAGACCAGAAGAGATCATGAGCTCATGTAGACTGACCTCCTCTAGTCCTTACGCTTCAATCGGGGACCCAACACCAAGCCCAGCAACTTGTGCTTTCCAGGAAAGCTGCTTTGAGTGCTTTGTCTAGTTGACTTTCCAGTATGCCTGGTGGTACAGCTTTCCTGGGACACTGGTTCACATCGCAACACTACCCCGTGTCCTTGGGGCAGATAATAATTATCTGGGAGGAGCTTAAGGCTTGCTAGAAGTCCCCAGTCAATGCTTTGCCCCTGGAAATAGGTTTCCAGGGTTTCAGGCAACTTTTGATATCACCTATCCATCTAGAGGTGGTCCGCAAAGGGAGAAGTCCTGGCTCACGGCTGTTCCAAGCATGTTATAGACAGGAGCAGCGTGTCTTATAGGCGATTATCAGCACATCAGGAGAAGGGGTTATAAGCTGTGGCCACAAAAAGACAACTGGCTGAATGAATCAGAGGCTGGAAGGCCAGAAGAGTTTGGCCGGTCTGACTCTTGCACAGCACAGGCCACAGATCTTCAGCTAATAATGCCTATGTCAAGCCCACAACGCCTGTTTGGGCTATGCCACATCTTTTATAAAGGCAGCCAGTCATGGGTGACTTCAAGAAATAGATACCCCAGCGAGCTGCTCCCATGTAAACTCTGCTCTGGGCCGGACTCGACAATAAGCTAAACCAACTGATTCGCTACGCAGCACCCCGTATGTGGTGTGACTGCTTTTTCTGGTTGGAAGACAAGGTGTCACTTGAAGTGGCATCAGACAGGACACCGTTAGAGAAAATGATGGGCAATCTGACTCCCATCGAAGTCATGGGCACATGGGACCCAGGGCTGGAAGGGACCGGGGGTCTTGAGATCAGTCTCTCATCACTGCAGGAAACTGCATCAGGAAATCCTGTTCACAAAGAGGTCCCGTTCCATTTCCCAACCAGTTAGGCTCATGCCTTCGCTACTCCAACCAGAAAGTTGTTCTAGCAACTCTTTCCCTTGATATCAAGAAATCTCCTGATTTCCAGCTTCAAATTATTCACAGGCAGTTTACGCTCCTTTGTTCTTGGGCTAACGTTGCCCTTTAGCTCAGTTCACCCCTGCTGTAAATACCAACACCAACTGGACGCCAAGCCAAATCAATGATCTCTCTCCCAGAGATCTACCTAGGACCACCCACCCCAATTCCAGTATGCCAACTGGACAGCACGCTCGACTTGGCTCTTCATGTCCCATCCTTGTCCAGCCATCCCAGGAGGGGACCAGGAACCAAAATACGTGAACGGCACTGATACTGCTAGAAACCAGCCCCATAACAGAAATACCAGGGAGACTGCTAGGAGCCCCCCAGTGCCTGAATGAGAAGAGATGCTGCCACTGCCTTTGCCCTTGCTGTGCCTGTTCTGGAGCTGAACAAAGCCTTGGCTTTCTGCAAGGTTATTGAGTAGGCCCAAGTTGGGAGAGGGAGTGCACTGCACGGAGAAGCTCATCAAAACCTGACGCACAAAGCTGGTGTTTTCCAGGGGGTCCACTTGCACCTCGAACTCAACAAAGGCCTTGTGACTGCCATTCAAGCTCTGCACAAAGCACCGCAGGGCAGGCATGACGCGTGGGCTGGGGTTTCCCCGAAGACATCTCCCACTGTGTTTAGCTCTCCTCTCTGCAGGCACCGCGGGTCAGAGCGGCAATTTTGGAGAGGTGCGGGAGCCCCGTGGCCACCCACTTCCACGAGGGGCGAAGGGGGCACGCGAGTTAGACCGTGGACGCTGCTCTTACCACTTCTATCACCATCTCCTGGCGCAGGAACTTCCGCAGAGGGGCCTGAAGCTGAAATGACAGAAACAAGAGAGTCCTGAGGGGTGCCGCAGGCTCCGTTGGGGTCAGGGATGACCCCATGGCTGGCACCACAATGCATACGAGGCCTTGGCCATGAACGTATCCAGGGCCAATTCAGGACTGCGCAGGGACGGCACCTTCTGCCACAGGCTTCCAAGAGCCTGACACTGGGGATTTAATCATCATCTCTGGGCTAGGTGCACAGAGGCCAAACTATGGGGGTGAGGGGAGAGGAGCACCAGAAGCGGGTTGTGTGGGGAAGAGACGCCAGTTCATACGGAGGCTGTCCTGACACCAACCAAGCCAGAGTTTTTAGGGAGACTCTAAGGAAACCAGCTCCATGTTCGCTTGCCCAGAAGCCGGACGAACTAATTTTGGGTGTAAAATAATCCTTTACACGCTGCTGGTGGGCACTCACAAAATTTAGATTTTGGGGGCTCTGGTTTGGCCCAGTGGAGAATAAGATAGCAGCTGGGATGTCCCAGTCAAGACTCACAACGGGGCCAAGGCATGGGTGTACCCCAGGTGGAGTTTCTTGTGCCCCATCTCATTGCCCCAGGGCAATGGAGAGAGCAAAAGAGCTCAGGGCTCCCATACCACAGCCCAGTCTTGAGCCCACATCGGAGCCCGCTGAGCTAAGTCTAAATCCTCAGCCAGGCTGTTCAGCAAGAAGCATCTCACACCCCCAAGCTGGCTTCCCTACCCAGAGGATGTGGTAGCCCTGGGTTGGCAGAGACTCGTATACGTACGTCCTCCATCCCTTCAATGTGGGACTCGATCTCTTGTACTATTCTGGCATTCCTCTCCACTTCCTCGGCGCTCTTCATGCCTTTGTTGATCCTCTCGGCCACTTGCTTGATGTTCCTTTGGGCGTCTATTAGGAAGGGGTAGTCGGGGTGGTCCTCGGGCGTGTGCTTCAGGAGGTCCTAGTGAAAAAACACCAGGAAAGGTTACTGTGAGGTACACAATGCACTGCGCTGAGCCAGGCACAACCCAGGGGACCTGTCCCATCCCAGAGATCCTATGTGGTTATCTGTGCTGTCCAGCTCAAGCTGTCATGTGAAACCTGTAGGATCATGTGTTTCTCCCCATTGAGGTCTGAGTAGCCTGTCAGACCCATCCCTTATAGGGTGAGCCATATAAACTCATAAGGTTTCCTTCATCATTGTCTAAATGTAAGCTCCTGTAATCCCTCTGCTGTTGTCTGGGTAATGAGCAGTAAGCTCATGGGTATTACACTCTGGGAATGCATTACGTCTCCAGTCAGGTGTCATCGACCTGTTATGCTGTATCTACAATACTGGATTTCTGCAAAGAAAACTGCCTACCGCAACTGCGCTAGCTGATTTCTGCCAGCACGAACACTGTTAAACACTTTATGCGCTGCCCTTACAGCTAAGAAAACAGGTGTATTTTGATCAGAGGATAATGAATGTGATTCATGACTAAGAAATAGGTTGCATGTAGAGGCTTTTCTTTCACTGATCTCAAAGGAATTTTCCAAGGAGGGCAGGATGATTACCACCAGTATAGAAACGGGCAAACCAAGGCACAGTGAGATTAAGTGATTTACCCAAGGTCACTCAACAGGCCAGTGCCAGAGCTGGGAGTAGACCCAAGCGTCCTGTGTCTCAGCCCAGCACTCAATGGCCCCCTTATTCATGCCAGGCCTGGTGCTGCTATATGCTTGGTACCATATCTCAACTGCACTTCTTGTGCCAATGCTGCAGACAGCCACGTCCCATGTGTACAGCCAGGCGAAGCATTTTCATCCCCAGTCTCAGCGGCCCCTGAGCTGCCAGCTAGAGTTAGCCGCAAGTCAGGCTCCTTGCAGAGAGGGGGCCCGGCTTTTGCATGGACAAGCTGACAGCTGCGACTGCAAGAAAGGAAGCCTTTGAGAAGGCTTGTTGGCTTTACAGTGCATGCAAACCTTTCCGAAGAGTGTGGATTGAGGTGCTTTCAACAGGGATCTCCTACTGGGAGACCAACTCATAGGACGGGTTCAAGCAGGGGTGCATGTGGCCTGCTATTTTCTGCAGCCCATCTATGGGTGGTCATGTGTGTGGCCAGGACTGCTCTCTCTTACAGTCCATGCCACCGATATCTGGATGTGTGCACAGAACCAGGATCCTGCATGCATCCCTTGGTGCTTTACAGACATTTCCACCAAATCAGACAGGAATCTCCATTTTTAACACCAGACCAGTTTTCCCCTTCTAATGTTTACAAAGGGAGATGAAATGGCATTACCCACCTCTTAAGGGTCGAAAGCAAAGATTTGCACAATGATCTCTCACTGGATCTTCAAAAGATATCAGTAATTAGGGCTCCACAGAACTCACCTGCAACCAACTGCACCGTGCTCACTGGCACATGCTTCTCTTCCCCATGGGTTATCACAAGGATCAGCTAGTGGTTGAAAATATACTGTGCTATTATGCTGGTGGGATTGGATTGTTTTAATGGTGCTCTCGACTCCAGCAATTTTCAGAATAAACAATGTTGTAGAAGCTCATTTTGTGATTATTCCTAGGCAGGGAAATTTACTTCTGAACACAAAAAGGCAATTTGCTTCATTACTGAAGCAGCGGATGGAGTACTTAAAACATTACCAACCAATCGCTTACAGCGTGGTTCCTGTTCTGGCCAAACGACTGTGTCATCAAACGGTAATCGGGTTTGAAAACAGCCTCTCCTCGGGAGCTAAGTAATTCCTGTTTCCATCTGATATGCTGAAAAAGATCAGCAATGCTAAGATCACCGTTGCTAAGAAATGGGCTGCCTCAAACAGCGTGCTGGAAAGATGGGCATTTTGCATTGCATCGGGCTTTGCAAAAGATGGAGGGTTCAGCGAGTCACAAGCTCTGCGTCGGTACGTGTGTATCGACGAAAAGCAGCTCAGGCCAGCTCGGCGCTGCGGGCCTTTGAAGCCCTTCTCAAGCCCGACGTGTTGCTTGTTTGCTGCGTGGCTGCGTGAAAGCTGAGGTGTGGAGGACTCTCCTCTGAAAGGCAAATCGTACTGGATCAGCACTTCGTAAGGGCTCGGGGAGCTGCCATTTCTTGCGACTCCCCTGCAGCTCCTACTCTAAGCCCCAGCTTCTGGAGTCATGGGATCATGTATGCATCTCAGCAGTCTTTTTTTTTTTTTTTTAAGGGCAGTTTCTGGCCACAGTGATCCTAGATTAGATAAAAACTGGAAAGTGCAGCCCCTAAGGGTTAAAAAAAACACTGGAAGATAAATGCAAAGACTCCCTTTTTAAGTCTCATGATTTTTAAGTGATCTCATGGGACCTGATTTGTGATTTCTGACCTCTTGAGGTTGCCAATACTGGTTTCACCCTCAGTTCTCGTGTTCAAACCCAGCCCAAGGCAAGGGTGATGGCTGGGTCCATGCTGTCAAGGTTGGGCTGTGTCACCCCAGACGCACAGGCAGATATCACCGCAGAGCTCCCATCTCCGGTTCCTGACTCCGTGAGCAGCAGGGTAAAGTTCTCCAAGCTTGTCTGGTACTTGCCGCCTCAAGCTAGTGAAGATTTAAAGGGCTGCCTCTGCCCTGTATCAACACAGCAAGGTTACCAAGCATGCCATCAGCAGCGCGGCTACTCAGGATTGCACCTTGCATCGAGACGGAGGGGAACCCATCTAGTTTCCAGGTTGGATCCAACGCCCTACAAGGCCTAAAAGTGCTGCTTGAATAAAAGGCGCTGATGGCGCTGTGCTGGCCCATCTGCATGTTGTCCCTACGGACCTCGGGCAGCCTATGGCTGTGTAGATTGTCCCCTGTGCCATCACCCTGGACTTCACGTAGGATGAAGGCTTGGGACTGTAATGTGGCTTCGCCTCCTGGCTTCACCTGCTGCCTTGGGTGAGTCACTTCATCGGTCCGTGCCCCATCTGCGAAACAGGGGCAACCCCCTCAAGTCTCTTTGGACCGCATGCTCCTTGGGGCAGGATTTTGTCCCTGGCGCTTACAAGTCTCTGACAGGCACTGGTGCTGTCACAAGGCGAACGAGAGGTGAAAGCAGCTTTGCAATCATAGCAGCGACTTGCTAAAGAGCCAGGTGCCAGCAGGGCCTGCTCAGGTGGACTTCAGCTATGGACAGACACAGTGTTAAACCATGCCCATGGGAGACGGTATTTTCTGCCCAGGGATGTGCGTCAGCTGAATTGATGCAACTGTATCATCTGTTTGCTCCTACCCTGGTATAGCAGAGCTAAACCACTGTCACTTTAAACCTGAACAAAACAGCTTAAAAGCTGCCACTGGTTTAGTTGCTACTTCATAGTTTCATAGTTGGTTGGGTCGGAAGGGACCTGA